GTGTGTGTGTGTGTGTTTACTGTAAACTCTATTACTCCTCAGCCTTCCTCGGTGGCTGGTGTGGGCAGATGTAACAGAGCCATGCGGACAGCGGGCATGGTGTGACAGCCTCTGTGCTTTATGATTGGTTAAAGTTCAGAAAGGCTACAGCTCTACAATTCTACACAGCCACTCGCTTGACCAATGAGCGCAAAGCTTTGGAGCACGACCACGCCCCCTTTAGTCATTTTAACCAATGAGTGCGGTTTTAACTTATCTCAGTGAAGAGGTGATCGGGTTTGGGGTTGGAATAATCAATACGGTTCAGTGGAAGTCGAACTCAAAAGTGTAGCACATACTTTTAGTTTGGGGGACCGTGCACGCTCGGATCGGATCGGACCAGAGACGATGGATCCGCTGTTGTATTTAGCCGGCGTGGTCGTCATGTTCCTGCTGTGGGTCAAAGTCAAAGGTCTAGATTACGTGATCGTTCACCAGAGATGGATATTTGTGTGCCTGTTCCTGCTGCCTCTCTCCGTCATATTTGATGTGTATTATTATGTGCGCGCGTGGCTCATTTTTAAGATGTGCTCAGCGCCAAAACTGCACGACCAGCGCGTGCGAGACATCCAGCGACAGGTGAGCAGTGTGCGTGCGTGTGCGTGCGTGTGTCCAGGTGTGTGTGTGTGTGCGTCCAGGTGTGTGTGCGTGTGTGTGTGTGTGTGTGCGCGCGTGTGTGACCAGATGTGTGTGTGTGTGTGTGTGCAGGTTGTTTGCTTATTCTCATTCGGTGCCTTAACATCATTTTAGGGACATGTGTGAATGGTAATACAGCTCAACACAGAATAAATGGATCCACATTTACCCAATGCAGGTTTACTTAAGTAATACTCAAACCCTGCTCCAGTGCTGACATGCAGGTCCAGTTCTTACATGATGAATAAAATGAGGAATAGCCTATATTGCATGTGTTTTGCAAGGCATCATGGGTAATGAAAAACTTAGTGGTTACTTGTGTTTCAAATGCGCTAGTGATAGTGCTCAGTTATGTGGTAGCCTGTGTATGGGGTCAAAGAAGGTACATTATGATGTTCAAACGAATTCAAACGTTGGTGCTGTTGCTTTATCACTGTTGACCTATCACTCACTAATCTATTATTACACAAGAGTTTTATTTATGCTTACTTATTTACCTGGTTGCGATCTTGCCATGGCTGTCACGTCTTATAAAACATATTCTTGATGTGTAACTCTCATAGAGGGTATTGTTTTCTCAATATCTGCAGAAATGGCTGCACTTCAGTAATATTCATTAGAGGCAGACAAGACTGACCTTTTGCCTCGGTTCCTAAAAGGAGTATGATGAAATAGGAGAACAGAGTCTGAGAGAGCTTTAGCCAACCATTTGGACTCTAAGGTAATAAATAAGGTAATAAAGAAGGAAACATACAGGCTCACAGTAGTGGGATGAATTAGTAGTGAAGTTTAGCAGCCTTCACAAAAGTTATTTTGAGTTCAATTTCAATTTTATTTGTATAGCATAGAAGTTATATCAAAGTTTCAAATAGAGCAGGTCTAGACTGTACTCCTTATAAAATTCCCAACAGTTCCCACCATGAGCAAGCACTTCTCTCTATCATGTATTTTGACACATTGCAGGTGCGTGAGTGGAGGAAGGAGGGCAGTAAGACCTACATGTGTACGGGTCGACCCGGCTGGCTCACTGTATCTCTCAGAGTGGGGAAATACAAGAAAACCCACAAGAACATCATGATCAATATGATGGACATTCTGGAGGTGGACACGAAGAGGCAGGTGGGACGATTCAACAAACACAAATCATGCTCACTAATGTTTTGCAAATTTTAACATTAATGATGGCTCAGTTCAATGAGGCGTCCCAGTTGAACCTTTCAACAACATTGGTCCTGAAACTGTTAAACCTAAAGGGAATGCAGCCATTATTAATGTTATAAATTACACCTGTGTGTTTCCTGTTGTGACACGTTAAAATGTCTGCTGTGAAATACGCCCATACAGATAACACGTCTTTCATAGAGTACCGTAGCTACACAGGTGATCTTTTTACTCTATTGTTCCCTTATGAAAAACACCTTGACCCATAGCAAATAAAGTAACATAAAATAACAGATAACAAAATAACAAATGTATATTGAAAAGCAAAATATTCAAAAACAAAGGAGAAAGGAAAAAGAAAGAAGAAAACATCCAGTTTATTGTTTGTCTTATAAATGAGGTGCTCATAGGAAGCTGTTTCTGCTAGGGTATTAAGCCATTCTTGGTAGTTTGGAGGTTACTATGTATATATATATATATATGGGATCTGAAGCATGAGTCAGTTTTTTTCCAACTTTGGTCTTATTTTAAGCCACACTAGCATAATTTTTCTGGAAAGACAGAAATAGCTCAACAACTATCAGATGGATTGTCATGATATTCAGTGCAGATATCTATGGTGCCCAGAGGATTACTCCTACGGACTCTGGTGATCCTCCAACCTTTCATCTAACAAGTCAAAGTTTTCACTTATCCTGTCAGTTTTCCCCGGAATTCATCCAGTACTTTGGATTATGACTTCAAAGCCAGTGTTATTCCCAGCAGTCTCAGCTGTACTTTGTGTTTACTGCTAATGCACAAATTCTAGCATGCTAACTTGCCAACTAAGATGGTGAACATAGTTAACAATATACCAGCTAAACATTAGCATCTGAATAAGCATGCTGACATTAGCATTTGGCTCAAAGCACCACTGTGCTATGTGCAGCATTAATCCTGGAAACACAGGGACTTCGCTTCAACAGGGCAGTAGAGTCGAGGAGTCAGAAGATCTGACAGGTTGTCAGCAAGCCAACAGCCAGCACATTTAAACCACTTTATCTGAAGAGACACCTGAGCTTAATTATTATACTGTTTACTATCTTCTTTTCATTCAAATAAATATGGTTGATCTTGGGGTTTTTAGTCAGACTGCATGTGTTTCTGACTCCATCTGAGTGTCTTGACGGTTTAACTATGTCACCATCTTGCCAGTTCCCAGTAGCATTGAATCTGGTGAACACAATGTTATTATTAACTCCTCCAAATGATTACACGAGGACACAAATCAACATTTTCCACTCTTATTTCTCATAAAAATGTACCTGGCTGGATTTTGTATTGTCAGTCTGATGGAAGACCCTTGCTCACAGTGATCTGTGTGTTTTAGGTGGTCAGAGTTGAGCCGCTGGCCAACATGGGTCAGGTGACCGCTCTCCTCAACTCTACTGGCTGGACACTGCCAGTGCTGCCCGAGCTGGACGACCTCACTGTGGGTATGTTGTTATTGTATTACTGAGGAACAGTTTCTGGAGAATCATAGAGTGGCATCTTGTGTCGCTCCCAGATTTCTAGAAATAGAGACATGTGCTGATGATTTCCACAGCTCATTGTTCAGTGATGTAGATCGCTCATCTCCTCCATCAATCACTGTATCCTGTTCAGGGCCTCAGCGACTTCTCTAATTGTGTTAGAGGATTGATGTTGTAGCTCAAAAGATGAAACTGGGAGGAAATGGCTGCAGTGTTGGAAGCACCCCTGGATCGGGTTTCATAATGGATTTCCTGATGCCATAAACTGCGCATCAACAATCTAATGTTTTCCCATCAGGCCGTAGTACATTCAGTTATCCTGATGTCCACGCAGGCACATCCATACATGCATATCACTCAAAGCAGGCAAACACTGCTTTGTGTGTTTGCCTGCTGTTGGTCTCACATGGGAAGATATTGAATTACCAGGAACAAATCTTGTATTCTTTCTCCCTCTGTCAGGTGGTTTGGTGATGGGTACAGGCATCGAGTCTTCCTCTCATATTTACGGGCTGTTTCAGCACATCTGTGTCGCATATGAGCTGGTTCTAGCTGATGGAAGCTTAGTACGCTGCACTGAGGTGAGTATTGAGTGTGTGTGTGATGTGTGTGTGATGTGTGTGTCTGAGTCCAGGGGCCTGTATTGTAAAGTGACAATAGTGGGCTATCACGCTATCTTTGGGATTGACTCAGGTTTTCCATTATCAAGAAGGTGGCTCACATTAAACAGGGATTACCATGGTAACATCATTACCATCACCACAGGCCTTCTGAAAAACCACTGAAAATGTTGAAAAGCTTAGTTTTCATATGTGGATATTATTCCCACTGTTTATTTCTCATCCTGTTCAGTTCTAGTTGTGTGATTACACTGTATTTGTTTTATGAGAATCACTTTTTTCCCACTACAGTAATCTAATTTCTCCCAGGGGTATCACCATTTCATCTCATATTCATATCACTCCTCCTCTCATGGTTCTGACGATACTACATGTAATTAAGAACTCCTCCTTTGTCACATGAACATGCTTGTAGATGGATTAGAGAAGCCCAGAGTTAACTGAGCTTGTTGATAACCAGCTTTGTGATACTGGCTGTCCTGCACCTCTAATGTTAGGCTCAGTAAAGCTAGATAAGGGATTGTACAAAGTGAGCCTGATGTTCTTGCATGGTTATTAATGTTCCTTTCAGTATTTTCTCAATTCATCCCTGATTTCAGGATTAAAATGTTAATAGAACAATAATTGTTACATAGCCCAAATCACACTTTACTGGTGGACATTGCAAATGCCAAAATGTATGTAAACACATCCTGTTCACACAGGATTTGAGCTGATTTCTATTTTTAAACCAAAAGCTACTACGTGAACAGTTATTACCACTGTCACTGAATAAACAAGGACCCAGCATTGTAGCATAAATTGGATCACGCTAAACATGTATGGTGTTTTATTTTATTTTTAACTGATGTTATAATGCAGAATAAATTGAAAGCAACTGTTGGCTAGTAAAAAAATCTTGCGCTCTTTAGAAAGATCATCCCTACTAATGATAATAATCCACATTTACCCCCCCCACCCCCCGCTAATAACGGTCCCTGACCGAGAGCCAGACTAGGCTGAAGTTGTGATGCAGGCTGTGGTTTGTAATGGTAATATGTTGTGTTGTCACACCACAAATAAAGCAAAAAGAGTGGAGGAGAAGATGAAATGGTCGATGCTGTGAGGTTAGCTAATGGTTTAGTTGTAAACCCAACATGTGAGACAAATAGCCTAACGTTAGAAACCCAGAAGGCCAACACCACAGTCATCACTGAGAGTGTGCCATACATCTGTGTCCTGTTTGTTCAAATATAAAGTTTATTTTTCTTTCTGTCACCTAGGAGGAGAACTCAGACCTCTTTCACGCCGTCCCATGGTCCTGTGGAACTCTGGGCTTCCTGGTTGCAGCTGAGATTAAAATAGTCCCCACTAAGTCTTGGGTGAAGCTGCACTATGAGCCGGTCAGAGGACTGGAGAACATCTGTAAACGCTTCACTGAAGCATCAGAGAACAAGCAGAACACATTTGTCGAAGGCATCCAGTACAGTCTGGACACCGCTGTCATCATGACGGGAACCATGACCGACCACGCTGAGCCTGATAAGGTAAGGTGTTTGTGAGCACGCCTTGGACTTGTTTTTACATGTTGTACGACATTTAACCTTTCTTTAACCTTTTTTCCTCCCTGACATCAGATTAATAGAATCGGCCTGCACTTTCAACCCTGGTTCTTTAAACACGTGGAGGGATACCTGAAAGGCGACCAGAGTGGAGTTGAATACATCCCTCTGAGACAGTACTATCATAGACACACACGCAGCATCTTCTGGGAGCTTCAGGTACTCACAGAACACCCACATATCCATTAAGGGACTGCATATTTCTGCCAGATTTTAGCTTGTCTTAGCTTTATCATCTTCCTGCTCACTTCTCAAACTCTAATGCTCTTTCTCTGTCACACACACACACACACACACACACACACATTCTTTACTCACATATACACACACCATTAGCCATTAGTCAGAAGGGCTTGGCATCCTTTGTTGTCTGTAACAGTAAATGGTGATGAATTATGCATAGTATTGGTTTGACAGATATCTTTAGGAGAGGCTCTGAGCATTGGGTGTTTTTGAAAGGGTTTTGTTTTGAAGACAGTAAAGAGGAAAGTCGGACAGAAATAGGGCTGACCGGTGATTTGATTAAATCATTAATTGACTATTTTTGATAGACTTAGTTGCTGTGCTGATGTGAGAAAGTGTTGGATGCTAGTTGGAGGGTTGTGGCTGCCCTCTGGTGGCTGATAAGAGCGGTGTAATGCGACTGTATCAGTGTACATTAACTGGAATAATATGACAAATTCAGCATTATATTATGGGAAAGCCAATTATATGCTTATGATTCATGTAACTGTGAGATTAAATGATTTGGGTGGGGAGGGAGGGGTCTTTTTGATTAAACTATTTGATCTATTTTTTAAATAATACATCTCACAAGGGAAGGCTGAAATAAAATGATAATATGGGGTGAGAATTTAATATTTTTTAATTTACCGGTTTTGATGATTCGACAATATTAACATTGCTCATCCCTAGATTTAAAAAAAAATATAGAATGGGGCAGAGGTTTAAACATTGACTCACCCATATGGAAGCAAAGAAAAGCCATAAAGATATTTAAATTTTAGCAGCAACTAAATATCTAATTGTTACATTTAATCTCTGCTGAATATTTAACACTGGAATTTAAATGCCACTGTGTTTATAAAATCATTAAAATATTTTACCCTGAAAACCGTCTATCTTAATTTATGTTATTTGAATTCCTTAATTTCAGGTGCAATTTAAAAAAAAAAATAAAAATAAAAAAAAATAAAAATAACTGTATACAAGTTGTTGGTCTTTTAGATTTGTGAAAATGTTGTTCAGGTTAATTAAATATATGCAACCAAATTCTGACCTTGAATTTGTTTGATGAAAGAAGAGAAATCAAACCACATATATCTAGATAGCTGATTTTCAAAGTATGTTTGTTTTCATACACAAATGTTGGTGTCTCAGCTAATAGGTCTGCAAATAACGCTCATTATCTTTATCATCTAATTAGAAAAGGTAAGGAAATGTGACAAATTTTCAACATGAGGCCAACATGACGGTATTTCTGATGATGTCTGACCAACCACTTTAGCATCGTCTTTTAACCGCTTTGTTTTATGTCTCTGTGTTTATTGTGTACTCTCTTCAGGATATTATTCCCTTCGGCAACAACCCGGTGTTTCGCTGGCTTTTTGGATGGATGGTTCCTCCTAAGATCTCACTGCTGAAGCTCACCCAGGGAGAGACCATCAGGCGGCTTTATGAACAGCACCACGTGGTCCAGGACATGCTGGTACCCATGAAGCATCTGCAGGCTGCCATCACGCGCTTCCACCAGGACATTGATGTAAGACTCACGATGTGAATGAAGCCACTACTCTCTGTTCATATTACGTACTCCCGCTTGAACTCCTGCGTGTTTCGTGTTTTTTCAGGTTTATCCTCTGTGGCTGTGTCCATTCCTGTTGCCACCAGGCAGAGGGATGGTCCACCCCAAAGGTCAAGAGGAGGAGTTGTACGTGGATATAGGGGCATACGGAGAGCCCAAAGTCAAACATTTCGAAGCTAAAGCATCAACGCGTCAGCTGGAGAAGTTTGTCAGAGACGTGCATGGGTAAGTCTCAAATAATAATGGTATGACCATCTGTGTGTTAATATTGATGTAAAAACACAACAACACTGGAGCATATAAAATGCATGTATATGTACTATTAAACTGACCACTGCACATTTTCCATCCGCCTCCTGCAGGTTCCAGATGCTGTATGCAGATGTGTACATGGACCGAGAGGAGTTTTGGGAGATGTTTGATGGACAGCTGTATCACAGACTGAGAGAGGAACTAGGCTGTAAGGAGGCCTTCCCGGAGGTTTACGACAAAATTTGTAAATCTGCCCGACACTGACCCCCCCCCCCAATCACTGGTACCTGACCTCTGCCCTGTGACACAGATACATGGGGGCATCCGTCTGTTTGGGGATAGAAAGCTAGAAGAAGGAAGGAAGCTAGAAACTGATTGACACAGACTGTGCCAGACTGTGTCTTAAGAGGCCCGTCTATCAACGTGAAGCAGGAGCACAACTATTGTAATTATTTTAAGTGATAACTCATGAATATGTTCTCGTTTCCCTCTTTCTCTACACACTTAGGTTATTCATGTTCTCATTTCATGTAGTGCTTGACTCCAAACCCATACGGTAACCTGTTGAGAGCAAACAGTACCAATATTTTTTTGTTCACATTTTAGACGTGTATCATAGGAAACGTTTCCCTGTTTAACAACCTTATCTGGGTTTATCACAGACTTTTTGCCTTTTTTTCTGTATACGTTTCAACCTGTCAGCCTTACCTACAGTTTCCACAGTGCCATACACTTTGAAAACTTGGCTTCATAATAAGTGTCATACACGTATTTTAAAACATATACTTTTGTGATAAATCTATGACATTTAAAGTAAACAAAAAAGGTATATTGTAACTTATAAGCTACTATTTTGATATCAAAATCAGATCACATCACCAGGACTGTGTAAGGGTTGAGTGAATAAATTAAAAACTATTTTTCTTGAATAAATATCATTGTCAT